GTCAAAAAACCGTGATTAATTAATTATAAATAATTTTTTTAAATTTTTCTAATTCAAAAATCGAAAATCGGGCTTCGAGGTCTGGTGGCCAGCCCCTTTGTGCTTCCGTATAAAAAAATTCCAGGTCCCTGCGTGCGATAGATTTGGCTGGAGAGCTCGGTCAGACAGACAGACAGACAGACAGACACATTACACTTGCTTTTATTATTAAGATGTATCGTCAAAACAGCAAACTAACGCTAGAATAAAGAAATCAATTGTTACAATCGAACGTTATTTGAAAACAAATAATAATATCAGTGAGTCAAAAAAACCGTGATTAATTAATTATAAATAATTTTTTTAAAATTTTTCTAATTCAAAAATCGAAAATCGGGCTTCGAGGTCTGGTGGCCAGCCCCTTTGTGCTTCCGTATAAAAAATTCCAGGTCCCTGCGTGCGATAGATTTGGCTGGAGAGCTCGGTCAGACAGACAGACAGACAGACAGACAGACAGACACATTACACTTGCTTTTATTATTATAGATTACAGTAGGGTAGAGACGCCTCTTAATGTGATCGCGGTTAATATTATCTTTCGGATATCGTTATCGAATTGCCGAAGACCCGCCCTTTTGCATACATGAAAAATACATCGCTTGAGATCAGTTCGGTTAATTTGATCAAATTATAGAATAAATTTGTTTTTAGCTGATGTAAAGTAGTCAAATAAAGTCAAATAAGATTATAAAAATGGCCAAGTAGCAGAGAAATGTCGCCAAGTTATTAAACCATTTATCGATAGTTTGGATTTTAGTCAACTAAAAACTTACTAACCAAATTTGATTAACTCAATCGATTCTGATGGCTATCAGACATAAGAAGACATTCCTCAGAAGCAAAATAATTTCTGCAGAATTTTCCCCTTCCTTTCGGGAAGCCCCCCTCTATTGTTTTATTACCTAATTTAAAATTTTGTTTTGGTATGTTCTTTTCCAACGCGGGATGCCTTCTGAGTATTAAAAGAGCATCGGCCAAATAATTTCCAGAAACTTTACGAACAATGAGAAAGGAATTTTATATTTAAAACTTTGTGAACAAACACTTGCATTTTCCCAATTAAAATTCTGTGAAAGTACTTATTTATATTTTTCCACTTATATTTATATTAAAGTAGTTAAACTCCAGGATATTTTTTCTCATCGTTTAATATTATCATTCAGTTAATATTATAAGAATAGCCGTGGGGAAATGTTATCACTTTTAGCGATGCCTACGGTATTCTTTCATATGTACTTCTCAGGGTAAACTATACATTTGTGTTGCATCTGGTATTTGATCGCAAAGGGTAGTTCAATGCTAAATGTTTTCGGGGTTTTTCAAAATTTCATATAAGGAAATATAAACGTAAAAAATTCAAAGAATAAGAAAATTTAAATAAAGAACTGATTTTTAATAAAGATAAATATTTTTATTTTTTTGAGCTTACTTATCAGCACACAAAAAATAACATATTAACAAAAGAAAAATACAAATAAGGATAGATAAGGGATTCCTAATATTTTTCTAATATCCGCCTCTATTAAATGAAAAATTTTCTTTATAGTCCCTTTACATTTTTTATGTACTATACAATATACAGCATAATCATTATACAAATAATAATTGCACACAAGTAATTTTGTAACTAGATTAAGAAAAATAACTAGATGAAGAATAACGAATTGGATAAATCGTTTCCTAAATTTATGTTTAATTATTTTTTGTATTATTATTATTAGTCCAAGGGGGCGTTGTTACTGAAGGACTATTGTTTTCGTTTTGCGATTTTGCGTTGAATCACTATAAATGGCGAATTACTTTTCAAACTGTTGCCACCAAATGTGCATTATATTTGAAGAAATTAAATAATGAAAAATCTGCATAAATGTATGTATATTTCTCGCATTGTGATAAAACAACGGTACATAGAGCCATCGAATTTTGAATGACGTAATCCTCCTACGAATATGGGCATGTGGAAGACCAAATTTGAAATTTGGAATTTGTCTTATTATCGATTTCTTATTTTGTAAAACTTTAACGAATTTTTGAGAAACAAACTCAACGATTGAAAAGCAAGCAATGGCTACACTGTACGAAAAAAAAATTATGCTCAGCGGGCGAGACTATGTATCGGAAATTCTAAAGATATGCTCTCTTAAAATTATTTTGCGACATTGCTTTTGAACAGAATTTTATGGTTTAGGTGCAAAGAACATGATATTTAATAAATAAAGGTAACACACAAAGCGTTAAAAAAAAAGTCCCTTTGGACATAATTTAAAATCTGAAACCTTTCAGGTTTTTTTATTATTTAAAATTTTACAAATATTAAGCTCTCAGAAACAAAATCACAGATTCTAATTGCACAAAATTTTGATTTTGTTAAAGTAACGGCTACGTTTAATGTATTGATGCAATTTTTTTTTAATATTTAGCTTGAAATTGCTTAACTTAATTCTTAAATTCTCTCGTTCAAAAATATTCTATGCAGCCTGGTTCTTTTTTTTTCCATAGTAAATTATCAATATGGCTAAAACCTGCTTCAGATAGGTAAGAAGAAGGAAAAATCAATAGCATTGTTCAATAACAACTTTGCCATACCGAAGAAACCGGGTTCGAATCCCAGAGAAGGCATGGGCGTCTGTAAATGTATGGTGTTTTGTGTTTGTGCGGCATGGGAGCACTCTAAATATGTGGCGAGATGAAAGTCCTCTCGAGAGGTTGATGGTAGGGAAAGTAGGTTGGGAGACCTTAGAGCCTGTCCAACCGGGGTGCTCTCTTTAAAAATTGGAGGCGGAACTGAGTTAAAGTCGAACTATATTGTGCCCAAGGCTTTGAATAACCTCCTTCAGTGCCCTCAACTATTCTTGCATTATAATACCAAGGCTATAATCAGGATTAGTGGTTCTATGAGCCATTCATATTTTCAATGTCTTGGAAGAGCGAACATTAAAATCTTTTAGATTTTGCAAGCAGCTTATCTGTAATAAATATCGTCTGAGAAAGTTTTGCGCTCTTCGCACTTTTTTGCATATTGTGGCGCAATAGTTTTCTTGTGTTTTCGTATTTTACTTTTTCATATTGCGCTTTTTGCATAAAATTCCATATAATAAAAAAAGAATATTAATGATTTTAAAAATGAATTAAATAATTTAGTATATTTTTCCCGTATATTTATTTTATTTTATTTCTTCTTTACCACACAATACAGTTTCATAACAATAAATAATTATCAGTTTTATGAATAATTTTTTGGTAATTAATTTGATCTTTATTATACTGTACTCGCATATTCGGCTATCGACTCCCAGTCATTGAAACTTGACGACTTGATCGTCATTGAAACCCTTTAAAATTTCCCTCAGGGGGGTCAATACCAACTCCATTGGGGAGCCTTTCTTAACATGGTTGAATTTAAATAAATTAATTTATTTGGGGGAAGGGGAGAATTGGGACAATTAATTCAAGAACTCATGTGAATTCATTCCTTCTTAGGATTCAAGAACACAATTCATTTCTTCTTAGGAGAGGAAATTGAAGACATATATGATTATTATAACATATAGAATTTTTTCTTTTCCTTTTTATTTATAGAATTTTCAGATGGCAACCAGATACTATTTAAGTTAATTATTATCAGATATAAATTAACTTTACTTCAAGTTAACAAAAATACACAAGTAAAATTTTTAGAACGGGAAAATTTAGAAAGGAAAACAATGTTCAATAACCCTTTTAAGTAGGTAAAAAACGGAATCTTAATTTAAAAAATAATAAAATGTTAGAACCTTAATTATTTAACATTCGTCTTTTTCTTTATAATTTTTAGGAAAAATCATTATACTTTACGATCATTTTAATGGTAATTATGAATTTTCAAGTTTTGTAAATTATAATTTCAATAGAGAAATAAAATATGAATATTATACAGTTTTAATGCCACTTGACGTTAATAAATTTATTCAAGTAAAAGAAGGTTATTTCGATATTTCCTGAACATAAAATTATGATGATTAGATTAGATACAATAAGATAATTAAGTGAACAATTTCTATTTTCACATTAATGTATAAAATAAAAAATTTAGACGCACACTAATTAAAGTAAAAATATTCCAAGAAACAATTTACATTTTTTTTGATAAAAGTATGCACACTTAAATATCTAACAAGAATATGAAAAGAATTTTTAGGGTAAAAAATTAAATAATTCTAATATGGAAAATCATAATCAAATTTATTTCATTTTTTAGGGTAAAAACTTTTAACAAATCGATTCTAATCTGAAAATTTATTAACAATTTATTTCATATTTTAGGGTAAAAATTAAAAGAATCAATTCTTAACTGAAAATTCATAATCAAATTTTATTTTTAATGTTAAAAATTAGAAGAATCATTCAAAACTGAAAATGCATAATAAAATTGATAGACGAAAGTAAGTTACTAAGCAGTTTCAAGTTTCCTGTAAAATTTGTATTTTTTCAATTAAATTCTATAAATCCGTTATAATCTATAAATTCTAAAAATAACCAGAGTAACTGAAGTTATAGAGTAATAAAAGCTGATAGGATAATAAAAATGATTACTCTACAAGTTCTATAATTCAAATATCAGCGTTTGAATAATTACTACATAGCTTCATAATTAAATGCTAAATTTAATATTTTAATGAATATATATATATAACATTGAACAAAGTAATAAATCAATATTAATTACTCAATACACGCGCCATTTTTTTCTTTTGCATTCTAACATTAAATTTCCGTTCATTATTGTAACTAATTTCTCAAATAATTCCAATAAGCGTAATATTAACTAAGAAAGATCCTAAATTTTCTTTATGTACTTTTGTCCAAAAAATAAAAGATACGCAGAAATTTTGCAGGCAGGTCAATAAATTAAAGCAAACAACAAAAATATTTGTGCACAGAAATAATTCTTTCAATAAAAGCTTTCAGAAGAGATTACTTACAACAACTATTTGCAGCAGAAAGATCAAAATAATTGTACTCTTCGACTTTTCCATAATTTAGCAAAAATTAAAACTACATAAACGAGGAATATAATAAGATGTTTTACACGACGATTTGCACGACCACCAAATCAAGTGAACCTGTTATCTACTGTGACCCCATGGGGTAAGGATTATATATACTGCAGAACCAATCTGTCGATGAGTGATTACGATTTCCCATCAGCAATTTAACTGACAGCAGTCAAGTTTGCAGCGGAAAATCCGTAGTTATCTATCGTACCTGTTGCAGCGATTATGAGATCACACCTTCTGGATTCAGTGTGTGTGTAAAGAGTTGAGGCTCTTTGACAAGCGGTCGCGATGTCGTTAAACAAACATAGAACATATCATAAAAAAATTCTCGCTGCAGATTATAAGAAGGATGACGTAAGGGCCAATTGGTTTCTGTATCAACTTTCATTATCTCTCGTGTCTACTTTGAAGGGCGTTTAAAAAATCTCAGCTTAGGGTGCATGTTATGACGTGGGTTTGACGAGCCCCACTTGAGTTTGCTAAACACTATGTGTTTTTGCATGAGGAGCTGTAGATTATTAGTTTATATTTAGCAGCAACTGGCGAAAGAATGAAATGAAAATTTTCGATTCAGAATGGAGAGTTTTGATTTATCTTTTTATCTATGAACGTCATTCATGAGCATGCGAAATGAATATAAAGGAATCAAAATGTTGTGCATTCAACTTGTTTTTCCGATCAAATTCGCAGAAACAAAGAGAAAAACACTATTAAGCACTTTTATCCCACGATTCCCAGCATACAAATAGCTGATTTTTTTATAGGATTTCTTTTAACACTTTGATTAACTGAGACAATTTTACAATCTAACAGACAATTTTATAAGAATTTTTATTTCTTTAGATCACTTTATAAATGTATGGATGGCTAGTCACGTACATATTCATCAGGGATTCATAAAGGGGATGCAAATGATTGTTACTTAATTTAAAAGTGAAGACATATAGTCTTCGGATACCCAAACGGATACCCAAAACGGATAGCCAAAACGGATAGAAAATAAATATCATCATAAAACTACGTTGGATGAGAAATCGAACTGATAATCCGCCGAAGTATAGGCAGGTCGTTTCAAATTCTGTTCTTAGAAGAGTCATTACGCTTGCCAAGAATTATTTCATTTCTCCAATGCGTCCTCTTATGGTGTATGTGGTAGCACATCCGACTAAACCGTAGAAGATTCGTGGTTTGAGGGGAACATTGCTGAATTTTCGAGTTCCCTAATGCAAATGTCTAATGTTCTATATATTGGCACTCAAAAAGGGACAGGCATATACAGACAGGAGCTAGGCCAGCAGTTTTGTAACACCACAAGTGATTGAACACAAGTGATTGCTGAACTTAGCTAACTGTTAAGCTTCCGTCCAATTTTGAGGCAGAGCAACCTGGGAGGTGGTCGGGGGTCTTCCACCTCTCTTCCTCTGCCAGTAACCAGCCGAGAGGACCTTTGACTGGCCATTATTAATATGCCTCTGTTCCAGTTTGACTAGAAACTTTCACTATGCCGATGTTCCGGTTTGATTAGAAACAAACTTTTCTCTGCCTCGGAATGGCAACAGTGAGAACTTGACTTTCGATTTGTTATGACGCAGCTAGAACGCTGCTCATGAGATGTAACATTAGATTCGATTCTAGATTCTAGATTAGATTAATTTTAGTATTTTAATAATTCCTTTTAAATCTAGATTGAGTATTTGATCATAGAATTATAACTGAACCACTGCTTGTAGAAATTTAGATGTGGCATTTAGATACGTCGTTAGATTCTTAGTTAGATGCGTAGGCAGCGAACATTCCTTGATTCGATTAGTGTACATTAGTGCGTACATAAACATTTTTTGGTACTACAGGCCGGGAAGCCGGCTAATATTGGAAAATATGGATTCGTGAGTAAGGATTAGCACGGTGTGAAGTGTGAGAAGCCTGCAAACAGGTAGGATAAGTTTTCTATTTTAAAGTAATTATGGAAAATCCTGTCACTAAGCTTAAATCGAAACGCAAAGTATTAAGGACCGCAGTGTCCAAGGTACTAAAGAAAATTGAGACAGAATTAAGCAAAGATGACGTTAGTATAAATGTAATAGAAGAAACTTTAGACATATTAAACGAAGCTAAACTCATATATGAAGATATTAGATATATTTTGAAGGCTGCTGGTTTCAACATGCGAAAGTGGAAAACAAATTGTGGAAATCTGCAGGAAGTTTTTGACGAATACGAAAATGGTGAAATCCAGAAAGTTCTGGAACAGAAGGTATTGGGATATAAATGGAATTACAAGGGAGACCTTCTGTAGATAGAATCACAAAATCTAACTAATCAAGCTCAAGGGAAAACAAAACTAATGACAAAAAGAGAAGTTCTTAAAACCATTGGAAAGCTTTACGATCCCATTGGATTTATAAGTCCATTCACTATTAGGGCAAAAATACTAATGCAGGAAATTTGGCAACTTGGGGTAGATTGGATGATCCGTTACCATTGGACTTTGAAAACAGAATAAAAAAATGGAATAATGAACTGTCAGCGATTCAGAATGTAAACGTTCCGCGACATTACTTCCGAAAGACTAACAAGTCTGAACGGAAAGATTGGAGTAACGTAGTCTCCCACCAACTCGCAAAAGTTCATCTTTATCCAGAAATACATTTAAGGATAAAATCTTAATATTACTTGGAACTGATCGTTTCGACTGCAACATTCTGAATTTCAACCTGAAATTAAGTGCCTGCAGTCGAAACGATCAGTTCCAAGTAATAGTAAGGTTTTATCCTTAAATGTATTTCTGGATGAAGATGAACTTTTACGAGTTGGTGGGAGACTACGTTACTCCAATCTTTCAGAAGACCAGAAACATCAACTTCTTTTACCCAAAAGACATCATTTCACTGAATTACTCATAGATTATTATCACAAAAAAATCTCTTCATTCGGGCGTTCAAACAACACTTTCTCTTATTAGACAATTATACTGGATACCTTCCGGACAAGATAGAGTTAGACGTGTTATAAGTAAATGCATGACGTGCTTTCGAACAAGGAACCAAACCATAAACCAAATGATGGGAGACTTACCTAGAGATAGAGTTGTAATAACTAGACCATTCGAAAAAACAGGACTGGACTTTGCAGGTCCAGTTATCACCAAGCCTAATTTGAAAAGATCTAGAGTTACGTTAAAATCATACATCGCGATATTTATTTGCTTTAGTACAAAGGCTATTCATCTAGAAGTAGTATCGGATTTGTCTACTGAAGCATGTCTTAGAAGGTTTATTGCCAGACGATCTAAACCATCCATTGTTTGGAGTGACAACTCTACGAACTTCAAGGGAACGAAGAATGTTCTTGATAAATTCTTTAGAATTTGTAGATCGGATCCTATTCAGCGCTTTAGTTCCGAAGAAGGTATGACATGGAGATTTATTCCTCCTTCTTTCCCCGCATTTTGGCGGGTTATGGGAGGCTAATATAAAATCAATGAAGAAAATTTTGACAAAGGTCGCGAAAACGACAATTTTAAACTTTGAAGAGCTGTATACATTAATTACACAAATAGAAGCCTGCTTGAACTCTCGACCTCTATCACCTATTTCGGCTGATCCAACAGATCTTCAGCCTTTGACTCCAAGTCATTTCCTAATAGGAGTTTCACTTTTGTCGATACCAGAAACGAATGATTATGTAGATTCTTTGACCTTGTCTTCTAGATGGACCTTAATTCAAAAACTTAGAGCTAATTTCTGGAACCGTTGGAGCGTGGAATATCTTAATCATTGCAGAACGGCTCAAAATGGAATCAAGTGAGATTAATCTCAAGGCAAGACAACTAGTCTTGTTAAAGGATAAAAACAAGACACCCATGAAGTGGACACTAGCTTGCATCGAGGAGACCTTTCCTAGTCCAGATGGACTAGTACCAGTCGTAGACTTCAGAACTTCAGATGGAATCTTTCGTCGAGCCGTCTCCAATATCAGACCACTTCCATTTCCAAATGATGTTGGACAATTGTCCAACGGGGGCCGGGATGTTCCGGTTTGACTAGAAACTTTCACGATGCCGATGTTCCGGTTTGATTAGAAACAAACTTTTCTCTGCCTCGGAATGGCAACAGTGAGAACTTGACTTTCAATTTGTTATGACGCAGCTAGAACGCTGCTCATGAGATGTAACATCAGATTCGATTCTAGATTCTAGATTAGATTAATTTTAGTATTTTAATAAATCCTTTTAAAACTATATTGAGTATTTGATCATAGAATTATAACTGAACCACTGCTTGCAGAAATTTAAATGTGGCATTTAGATACGTCGTTAGATTCTTAGTTAGATGCGTAGGCAGCGAACATTCCTTGATTCGATTAGTGTACATTAGTGCGTACATAAACAGCCTCTTTGCCGCACAATAGTGGTTACTGTACTTTTAATAGTGCAACACAATACGGTTACAACATCCATGCCTTCTCCGATACTCGAACACCAACATACCGGTTCATCAGTACAACAGTTAGCACCACTAATCATTATACCGGCTGGATGACGCCCCCATTCAATGAATGACAACTCATCAGCACTTGCACTCTCATCAGTTGGGCCCGATATTGTGCCTTTCTCTAGTATCCCTTTGGATGGCGGAAAATATAAGGAATTTCTTTGTGCGTGCTTTTCTATTGGAAAGGTTTAGCAAGTGGAAAATCGGAGGTTCAAACCTGTCAAGGGCATAGTCAGTTTGGGTGTTTCCTGATTCGAAATGTCTAGACCGTTACGCAGTTTTTCTTCCGTTTAAGGCAAATACCAGGCAATTTCTTTCAGAAAGACCTTTAGAAGGTATCTTTCCGTTAGGTAGATAGCTTCTCAGTTATATGTTATCATTACTAAGCCAAGAAAATTTTATAGCAAATTTGGACGATTGGGGACCCTAATCTCCATTCGCCCTTTAAAAGGAGGAATATATAAGGTAGTTTTTTCCTCCTTTCAGCATGCCTTCGTGGTGTAACGGTAGTACATCCGGCGCGTATTCGAAAGATCCAGGTTTGAGTTCCGGCGAATGCATTACACATTTTTTACGTCTCCTCCTTCAAAATAACCTAATGATTCTCCACAGTTGAAGAAGAAAAGAACCTATGATAGATGGCCTTACGCGGTTTTATTCAAAGTCTATACCATTTTTAAGACTCGTAACTCGTTTTTTGTC